GCAAAGGAGGAGAAAAATGAAACTTTCTGGAGTGAAAATAAAAACAAAAAACAAAAACATGTGGCCTTGAAGGCACTCAGTATGGGCTGCCATGAAAGTGAGGGTAATCAATAGGAAACACTGTGGCTGGAATACAGACATACTCTTAGTACACACTTTTAATCTCAATCAAGGTAAAGTTACTTTGTAGAAGGAGATAGCCATGTTTGAATGTGGTATCTAATTCAGAAGCAGACAAAGTTATGAATCAGAGAAAGTTGAAAGAATAGGATATGCCCAACTCTCATGAGAATGTAGATGGAGAGGTGACTTAAAAGGGAGCAGCACACAGAGGGAGAGGGAGAAGAGGCAATTTTACCAGGACAGTTGTACAGAGACAGATTGCCAAGTAGAACAAACTAGATATGGGTGAAGACAGAATGAACCAGAGAATGAGAAAGAACCAGAAGATGAGAACAGATTGTTCCAGTTAGTTTGAGGCCAGGCAGAGCTATTCAGGAAGAAACTGAAAGAAGCCAGTTTGAATCAAGTCAGTTGGGAGAGGAGTCTGAGCCAGAACAGCCAGCCAGAGCTCAGAAAGAGCTAGAAAGGTGAGCTTATTCAGCAGTCAGTCTCAGAGGCTGAAAACATTCTAGGCCTACAGTACAGAGACTAGAAGTTTCCAGGACTAGGCCTAGGTTAACAGATGGAGGCACTAACCCTAGAGGTGAATCAGGTGAATAAAAGTTATTTCACAAAAGAGGGTGGTCTTTCTTTTTTCATCTGCCTATCTCTGTTCATGTTCTTCTTTATTTTCCTTTCCATCTATTCTCCATTTCTATTCCTTATTATTACAGAAATCACCCAAAACATTTTTTTCTGTTTTTTTGTTTTTTTTTTTTTTTTTTTTTTTTTTTTCAAATGAAGCATATATTTTAGGTACAGCTGATTCAAATAGATTCAAATATCAGAGAAAAGAGCCAGCATTGAAGTGGCAATTGACAGTTTGGAGGAGAAAGACAATACTTGGTACAGTAAAGGTTTTGAAATGAAAACCAGTCATAAAGTGTGGTATAGGCAACAGTCAAGGCTCTAAATAAGAGACACTTTGTTTACTGAATTGATAGAAACATAAAGTGAGATTCATTGCATCTCAGAAGTGGGCTTGAAACTTCATTTTGTAGCAGCTTACTGTGTCAACAATCTCCAATTTCTCTTACCTTTACACTGCATATCCCTTTAGGCCTTCTGAATTCTTGTCCCATGCCCATAATATGGTTTGTTATTTTGAGGCAGATCTAGTTAGGCACCTCAAGATGGCTTTGAATTTACAGTCCTTTTTTCTTCGTCTCCTGGGATTACTAGCATGCACCAGCATATTCAGCTCATTAATTTTATTAAATTTTTTTAACCTAAGCATTTCATAAGTTCTGTGGTTTTCCTGAAAAGATGGTTCTTCAGACAGCAATTACATAACAATAGAACTACCATCTGCCACCCTGTATCCTATGGGCAGCATTTGGAATTGACACCCACATAGAAACTGTCCTCCTGAGTTACAAATAGAATTTCTTCTCCAAAAAGAATTCTGTGGAAAAATAATCATTTCTTTGCATAAAGGTTAAAGTTTTGGTGTCAAGAAATGAGCAGATTCATACTTAGTGACAGCCTCTGTGAGCTGACAGAATTCTTGCAGAATTTCAATGGACTAGAATTTGGTAAATGGAAACAAGACTGTCGCAAGAGTTTAGAATCTACTAAAGCCTTTTTAGCTCACTTTTTACCTAAAATTGTGTCTTGTCTTCTGATAAAACTTGAGGCTAGGATTATGAAAGAATGTTAGACTTGGATAAATAATCACTTAAATAAGCAGCATTTCCAAGTAGCCTCCTTCTGTGTTGACTGTGGCTAGAAAGGTTTAGGCGACTGTTGTTGATTATTAATATTTATTATTGATTTATCTTTTAGTTAAGCAGTGGTTATTCGTAAACCCAAAACACAGAGACTGTGATTTATTTAACTAACCTAGAGCACAATGCTGGGCAATACTTACTCCATCCTAAACTTCCAAGCCCACATAGTTTCCTCCCATTCAGATTTCCCACATTATAATTGTTTTTAGTCATTTCTTGGGTCTGGTTCATTTCTCCTTGTTGTTCCAAGTCCTCTCCTGCTGATCTCTGCCCTCTGACTCCTCCCACTCATTTCTTTCTCCTCCCCTCTGGACCAGGATGTCCCACTCTATTCTCTCCCTTGCTTAGCATTGTCTGGTTGTTTTATTGACAATACAGAGAACAAATGGTGGCATGTTTATACAAACTTGAGACAGGTGATTCTTAGAATAAACATCACAATGCAATGTTGGATTGAAACCAGATAGTGGGGTGGAGAAATCAGCATTTGAATGAACAAGGGTAAATTGTATACATTCCACGAGAACATTATACCATCAGGTGACATTAGAGAGCCCCTAAAGACTTGGTCTCTGTAAGTGTAAGAAGAGAAAGACAAGGACAGGAGGCTTCATGACTGAGGGGTACTAGTTAGCGTCTGGTTCTCTTGGGAGGTAGAGAATATTCTTTGCAAAAGGTCAGGGCTTTACCATTTTTGCCTCTCATGTACTTTTCTCTATTTAAGTTGATTTATTATTATTATTATTATTATTATTATTATTATTATTATTATTTACATGAGCACCATCCTAGTCATTTCCTAGATAGCAGCTCACCTCTAGAGGCAGAAATATTTATTGTCAGCATTTTGTGTTAGCTTTTTGTTTCCTTAGGGCATTGATTCTCAAACTGTGGGTCATGACCTCTTTTCAGGTGTGGGGGATGTTGAATGACCCTTTCACAGAGGTCACTGAAGACCATTGGAAAACACATGTATTTATGTTACAATTCATAACAGTATCAAAGTCATAGTTATGAAGTAACAACAAAAATAATTTTATGGCTGGGGGTCACTACAACATGAGGAACTGTATTAAAGGGTCACTGCATTAGGAAGGTTGGCATTAGTATATTGCCATTCGTGGTCCAATTTTTGTGATATTTTAGAAAAATACTTGCCATTTAAAGTTGTTGGTTGAAGTATATGATTTAAAGATAATTTCTTTGCGTTTTCAAAGATCTGTGCTTGATTACTCAGCACTAAGTAGGTAATAATTGGTTAATTCTCTTGATGGAGAAAAGGATATCATTTGGAAGTAGTTACCCTTATAAGAAAAAAATTAGTAGATTCTGGAAATTATTAGGAATCCTATATTGTTTAATGCAATACATATTTTCAGGTTAAAATATCATAAATATAACATAAATATATATGTATGGTTATATAATTTACATTCTAACTATACATGACAATCTTTTTGTATATAAAGTATTTTTGTAGTTGAAAAATATAAGTACTGAAACAAAAGAGTTCAATACTAACTAGATCCTTAAGATGTGACCATCTGTAACCACACATATAAAAACTACCACACAAATATTCTACATTTACATTTCAGTGTTCACTGAATTAACCACTCAAGAAAACTAACTCAGTCCAGCAAGTAGTCTACTCTGATGTTTGTAGCTTTTAGAAATTATCATTAGCTGCTAGTCTTTCCAATGAATGAAATTGCTTTTTAAAATCAGTATAAAAATTTGAGTAAAGTTGATATTTTTAGCAAAATTGAGCCTCCCTTGGGTAAATTAAAAACCAAGGCATATGAGTCTTTATGCCTATCAAATATGTTTTTCCATTGACTCAGACTTTTAAGGGGAAAAACTTACTTTTCATGTATCACTTTTTAATTATATCTTTGTGTATCATGGCGTATATATATAGATCAGAGGACAACTTGGGCAAAGTTGGTTCTTTCCTTCTAGCACATAGCTCCCAGGAATCAAACTCAAGTTTTCAGGCTTAGTGGCATACATCCTTACCTACTGAGGAATCTGACTCCCTTCCTTAATGTATTATTTGTATACAGATAGTTTCAGTACCTGTGTGGAAATACATGGATATGCAGTTTCAGAGGTAGGCATGGATAAAGCTACTATACTTAAGGTGGTATAATATTGGTGAAACAGACTAATAAATCAGTTGAACAAATGTGTTATTCAGAAATAGATCTCTTTAGAGTTGACATTATTTGATCATCAACAAAAGAGCAAAGACCATATAACCAGAAAATAATGTTTTCAATAATTGGTGCTGGAATAACTGCATATGCCCTGTAGAATAACTGCAACTGTGACTAAATTAAAATTTTCACTCCTTATAAAGATGAATGCAAAGTAGATAACAAATCTAAATATAAAGTACAAGATGGTATAAATGCTAGAAGATAATATGGGAGAATCTCAATGGTTTGGGGTTTGGTGATGGTTTTGTACGTGTAACATCACAAAAAGAGAAAACTGAAAAATCGCTAGACACAGTCTTGACTCTGCCAAAACTGATAGACCAACTGACAAAATGAACCACAGTGTGTGAAGGACTCTTCAGATTTTCACTGACCAAGACTGGCATCAGAAATGAGTTTCAGTTTGAGTTGCCTCTGAAACAGACCCTGAGAGGATTTGAGGGCACGCATTTGAAAGGAATGTATAACATGCATGAGAGAAAACAGGAATGAAAGGGGATGAGTTGGGTTATTATTAGACAAAAATCACAGTAGGTGACTAGAAGTTAAAGCCTATGAGTAAACACTGGGAAATAGCATAGAACACATTACTTACACCTATTCTACATAACAGGTGAGGAAATTAGCTCTTACTGTGGCTAGAATTGGGTTATCGAGGGGTTCACCCATGGCTCTTAAATCCCTGGTGCTTCAACCTGCCAGTAATGTGTTAATAGCAGCCTTCTGTTAATCTGGAAAAAGTCTTCGGACAAGTCTCAGATATCAACAGGTGGTAGTTAGCCTGTCCATGTAATATAGAGGAATCCAAGTGGGTGGGAGATGTCAGAGCATTGGCCATAGGATTCCTGGTGGAGGTTTGATAGTGCTCTTTCTCTTCTCTCTTCAGGCTTCATCATGACCTTGTCCCTGTTGTCCATTGTGTATGGAGCCTTGCGTTGCAACATCTTAGCCATCAAAATCAAGTATGATGAGTACGAGGTCAAAGTCAAGCCCCTGGCCTATGTCTGTATCTTCCTCTGGAGAAGTTTTGAGATTGCCACTCGGGTCATTGTCCTGGTCCTCTTTACCTCTGTCCTCAAGGTCTGGGTAGTGATAGTCATACTTGTCAACTTTTTCAGCTTCTTCTTTTACCCCTGGATCATTTTCTTGCGCAGTGGCTCCCCATTCCCAGAGAACATTGAGAAGGCCCTAAGTAGGGTGGGCACCACCATCGTGCTCTGTTTCCTTACTTTTCTGTATGCTGGCATCAACATGTTCTGCTGGTCAGCCGTACAGCTGCAAATTGACAATCCTGACCTCATCAGCAAGTCTCAGAATTGGTACCGGCTGTTGATTTACTACATCGTAAGATTCATCGAGAATGCTCTTCTCCTGCTCCTGTGGTATTTTTTCAAAACTGATTTGTACATGTACGTGTGTGCGCCTCTGCTGATTTTGCAGCTGCTCATTGGGTACTGCACCAGCATTCTTTTCATGCTTGTGTTCTATCAATTTTTCCACCCTTGTAAAAAGCTCTTCTCTTCCAGTGTTTCTGAATGGTTTAGGTCATGTCTCACATGTGCCTGCTGCTCCTACTTAAGGAAGAAATCCACTGCGGCAGGAAAGACTGATATAGACTTAAAGCCATATACAGATCAATATGTAACACCTTCTACCAGTAGAATGAGTCCTGAGTCCAGTGAGATGTGGAGTGCCGTTGATCTGTGTGATGCTTAATGGAACCTGAAGCTTCTTACAAGACGGATATTGTGTTCTGCGTTAATTACTATTTTTTTCATATAAGTAATGAGCCCTGCACAGGGATAAGGCAGGAAGTTTTCTGTCAACTCCTTGTGACCTGCTGCTTTTTATAAAGCTCTTGGATTTGAAGCAACTTTGGGAGAAGTAGGAAAGTCTACTACCCCACAGTTTGTTTCACACTTGACTCTGTTACATTCTTACAGGCTTTGGTGGACATTTCATTGATTGAATGATACCCCTGAAATTTCAGTTGAGCTGGTCATATTCATTAATTAGAATAAAGAAATGATTGTTTTTCTACTTTTCTAGACTGTTGTCTCAGTAGCTGGATGTTTTACTACTACTGAATATAGCTTTATCTAAAAGTCACCATGATAGCCAGAATATACTAGGGATTTTACAACCTCATTCTGATCATAGCTTACAGGGAGAGCTATTTAAGTTTGTTTTATCAATATGTTCCATTTTCACTTCATTAAAACTTTTTTTATATAACCAACTGTAGTCATTCTGGTTTCAAAGGCCTAGACTTGGGGACTTTATTCCCTGGGATCCTTTGGTACAGGTGTTTAGGAAAGCCATGTTTCATTCCACGTGTTGAAGACATTAGGGATCAGGATGGACTAGGACAATTGTTAGAATGTCAAAATGTTGGAAGCTTATACAAATAGAAATGCCCTATAATTCTGGGAAATTTCTGGCAGATTTTTCTAAGATAAATATTTTAAGAATTGTCTCCTTGTGGGGCTCCTGTCCCCTCCACGTCCCCCTATTCCCACCCCTTTTTTCCTCCATAAGACTCCCTGTGCTCTGCCCAAAGATTGGCTGTGAGTCTCGCATCTGTGTTGATACCCTGTTGGATGAATCATTTCAGAGGACCAATTCCACTGCCTCTGGTTTTCTCTCTTCCACTGCTTCTGGTGTCTACCCTGTTTGCCATTCTGAATGAGATTTAAGCTTCCTCCCTAGGGTCCTCCTTAGTGTTTAGCTTCTTTAGATCTGTAGTTGCCTATCTTATATTATACAGCTAATATCCTCTTATAAGTGAATATATACCATGCCTGTCTTTCTGTTTCTGGGTTAACTCACTCAAGATGATCTCTTCTAGCTTCACCTGTTTGCCTACAAATTTCATGATTTCCTTGCTCTTAATAGCTGAGTAGTATTCCATTGTGTAAATGTACCACACTTTCTGTATTCATTCCTTCATTGAGGGACATCTAGGTTGTTTCCATATTCTGGCTATTACAAATAAAGGTGTTATGAACATAGTTGAGCAAATGTCCTTATTGAATGGTGGGGCATCTTTTAGGTATATTCCCAGGAGTGATATAGAAAGATCTGAGGCCAGGGGGTACTGCAGAGACTGATGCAACAACAGAGGACCATGCATGGAGAGGACCTAGATCCCCTGCTAAGATATGGCCTATTGGTAGCTCAGTCTCCATGTGGATCTCTGAGTGAGGGGAGCAGGGCCTGCCTCTATCATGAGCTCAGTTGACTGCTCCTTGATCACTTGTTTCTGATGATGCAGCCTTGCCAGGCTACAGAGGAAGAGGATCCATGCAATCCTGATGAGATTTAACAAGCTATTGGCAGATGGCAATAGTGGAGAACTTCCCTTTCAGTGGACTAGAAAAAGGGGATGGAGAGAAGAGGGAGGGTAGGAGGGTGGGACTGGGTGGAGGTGATGGAGGGGGCTCCAAACAGGATATATAATGAATAAATTATGAAGAAAAAAATAGGAGGAGCTCTCGAAAATGGCAGTGCCAACCACGCAGGGTATCTGAATAGCAGCTTAGCAATGAGAGCAGGGTGACTGGCAGGCTGTACTGTAGATCCCAAAACCCCAACATCTGTGTTTCTCAGATGAGAGGAGAATCCACAGGGGTACTTGAAGGTCCATCATCAGGCCACCTGGCTAATACCAGGAAAATTTCTTGGGCTCCTGCTGGACACTGCCATATTCCTAAGCTACCAGCCCAATCCCAACATCTGTGGATACCTTCCTGGGACCTGCTGCAGCTCTCTGGGCTCTGACCCCCGTAGCCCAAGGCCACTTGCCCAAATTCACCATCTGTGGATATATTCCTGTGACTGGCAGTGGCGGCACATGCGGGGAGAGGAGGGGAGGCTTAGACCTCCCGCCTTAGACCATCTGCCCAAACCCACTGGTACCAGTGGCAGCAGCTTGCTTAGCTCTGACCCCACAGCCTTAGGCCACCCATCAGGATCCACCATCAATGGATACTTTCCTGGGACCAGCAGTGCATACACAGGGCTCCTACCCTATAGCTTTAGGCCACCCAACTGACTAAATACGCCATTTGTGGATTCCTTCCTGGGACAGACAGAGGTGACCCCAGAGCCTTAGGCAACTCAACACCTAAGCCCACTTTCTGTGGATACCTTCCTGAGACCAGCAACTGGTAGCTCAGGTCTTGGGTGCTCACTCTACTGCTTCTGTAGTTAATACTTTCCTGTACTGAGGGTGAGGCTCCAAACCTGGGCACACACTATCAAAGTCCTATGGACACCTTCTGGGTACTAGAGGCTCCTGTTTCCAAACCTGGGAGACCACACTCAACATACTGTGGATACCTACCTGGTCAGTTACAGCAGCTAGTGGTGCTCATTCTCACCACCCACTGGAGGGGATACATTCTGGTACTGTGGGGGAGGTGTGGTTCCATTCTGCCTATTCCCCTCCTGCCTGGTTCACCCAGGTCAGAATCATCCAGCACAGCACAGACAGTGAACAAAGCATAGATGAGCTATGCTTGGGACCCATGCTCTCTTTCCCATCATCTAAGGGAAGCCTGCGGAACACTGGAGCAGCTCTAGGCAAAGAGATCTACCCAACCCTGCCCCAGCAACCTGGCTCACATAGGCCAGAATCAGCAAGTCAAGCACAGAGAACCCAGTGGAGCTGAATTAGGCACCTAACCCAAGTTCCATTGTCCTCCTCTCCAAGGAGGCCTGTGGGACATTGGAGCAGCTCTAGGCTCAGAGATCTTTTTGCCTGCTCCCCCGTAGCCTAGACCACCTGGTTTGAAAACAAAGCAGTCATCACAGCCAGTGAACTCAGGGGAGCTGAGCCAGGCCTGGGACCCAAACCCCATCCTCCACCTTCTTAAGGAAGCCAGTGGGACACTGGAGCAGCTCTAGGCCAGAGATCTTTTGGCCTGTACCCCATCTACCTAGGTTACAAACAGTGAGCCAGAAAAGACAGTGAATCCAGGGGAGACTACTTAAAACTCCAGAAGCAGGTGGATCCAGTCTGTAGTACAGGCTCCAAGAATAGTCAGTCAAGGCTATAAGTAACCAGATGGTTAGAGGCCAGTGAAAGAGTACAGGCAACAAACACCAAGACATCATGGCTTCACCAGAATCTTCAAAAATCAACGGATTTACCACTGCAGCTGAAACACAGGAAAATGATCTTAAATCTATAAATATGCAATTATTCGAGGCACATAAAAAGGAAAGGAACAAAAAATGGAGGCACATATAGAGATACATAATGAGGAAATCAACAAAAAAATAGAGGCCATCGTGGAAAGACAGGAATACACATTCAAACAGATGAAGGAAATGGTGCAAGACATGAAAACAATTAGAATAAAAAAAGAAAACACAGAGAAAACCCTGGAGTTGGAGAACTTAGAGAAAAAAATCAGGAACCACAAAGGTAAGCATCACTAACAGAATAAAAAAGATGGAAGAGAGACTATCAGGTGCTGAAGATACAACTGCAGAAATTGAAACATCTCTCAAAGAAAATTAAAATCAGAAAAGTTACGAATACAAAACATAAAAGAAATCAAGGACACCATGAAAAGATGAAACCTAAGAATAATAGGAATAGATGCAAAAGAAGATTCCAGGCTCCAAGTCCCAGAAAATATTTTCTAGAAAAATCAGAGAAAAAAAATTTTCCCAACCTTAGAAAAAGATGCCCATAAACATACAAGAACACCAAAGAGACTTGAGCAGGAAAAAAAAACTCCTCACGCCACAAAATAATCAAAACAGTAAGTGTACAGAACAAAGAAAAAAATATTAAAAGCAGCAAGGGAAAAAGGCCAAGTAATATATAAAGGCAGACCTATCAGAATCACACCAGACTTCTCAACAGAGACTATGAAAACCAGAAGGGCCTGGGCCAATATCATGCAGACAGTTAGAGACCACAGATGACAACCCAGACTACTATATCCAGCAAAACTTTCATTTAACATAGATGGAGAAAACAAAATATTCCATGGCATAACTAAATTTAAACAGTATATATGCAGCAATCCAGCCCTACAGAAGATACTAGAAGGAAAACTTCAACCCAACGAGATCAACTACATCTCAATAACACAGGACAAAGTCACCATCACATTAAAAAAAAATCATAAAAAAAAATAAGCACACAAACACACAATCTCCACCAACTCCACACAAACAGAAAGGATTAAGCAATCATTGGTCAATAATATCAATTAATACCAAGGATCTCAACTCTCCAAAAAAAGACAAAGATTAACAATAGATTGATTGCAGAAACTGGATCCAACTTTCTGCTGCATTCAATAAACACACCTCTGCAACAAAAGTAGACACTATCTCAGAGTCAAGGGCTGGAAAAAGGTTTTCCAAGCAAATGGACACAAGAAGCAAGGTGGAGTAGCCATCCTAATATCTAATAAAATAGACTTTCAACCAAAATTAATCAAAAGAGATGGAGAGGGACACTTCATGGCATCAAAGGAAAAATCCAGCAGGAGGACATCACAATTCTGAACATATATGCACCAAACACAGGGCTCCTGAATTTGTCAAAGAATCATTATTAAAGTTTAAATCACACATCGATCCCAGTACCTTAATAGGGGGAGACTTCAATACCCAACCCTCTGCAAAGGACAGATCACTGAGACAAAAGGTAAACAGGGAAATAATGACATTTACATAGGTTTTAAATCAAATAGAACTAATAGATGTCTACAGAATCTTTCACCCAAAGACAAAAGAGTATACCTTCTTCTTAGCACCTCATGGAACCTTCATCAAAACTGACCATACAGTCGGGCACAAAGCAAGCCTCACAGATATAAGAAGATTGAAATAATCTGTTGTATCTTATCAGACCACCATGTTCTAAAACTAGACCTCAACAATAACAGAAATAGCAAAAAGCCTACACACAGATGGAAACTGAACAACTCTCTACTCATGACACCTAGGTCAGGGAGGAAATAAAGAAATTAAAGACTTCCTAATACTTAATGAAAATGAAAGTACAACTTACCCTAACTTATGGGACACAATGAAAGCAGTGCTAAGAGGAAAGTTCTTAGGGATAAGTGCCTTCATAAAAATATTCAAGGCCTCTCATACAAGCAAGTTGATGGCACAACTGAAAGCACTAGGAAGAAGAAGAAGAAGAAGAAGAAGAAGAAGAAGAAGAAGAAGAAGAA